CCAAGTGCTGCCACGCCATGGTGGCGGTCATCTACCCCTTCGCCTGGCAGCACACCTACATCCCCGTGCTCCCGCCCGCCATGATCGACATCGTGTGCTCACCCACCCCCTTCCTCATCGGGCTGCTCACCAGCTCGCTGCCGCTGCTCAGGGAGCTGCCGCTGGAAGAGGTGAGCCCCTGGAAGGCCCCGGAGAACAGGTGCTGGCTGAGCTCGGCCAGCAAGCAGGGGCAGGGGCAGGGGGAGCCCACGGCCTTGGCCACGAGCTAACAATTCTGCCTCGGGACACCCGTAACTGCAAACCCTGTTTTCCCCTCGAAGTGACCCTATGGCGCACACACCCATGGGGGAGGATGAACAAGCCCACGTCAGAACGCTTCACCCCTAAGGGGCTGTCTGCCCTCCCCAGCCCGGCCCTCCAGCTGCCCCGCAGGGATGGGGGAAAGCGCCGGAAGAGCTCACCGAGCCTGGAACTCCTGTCTGGACTCAGCAGAGTCCACAAAGACTGCGCCTGCACATAGGTGCTTGGCCAGTCACTTGAGAAGACCGAATGGTGGCTAGAGGTTAACGGTGGCTTTTCAGGGCAGCGTCCAAGCAGGGAGAGTTCTGTGGCATTTCCATAGCGAGATCGTCCCAGCCCCTCCCTCTAAATGGTCTGGGGCCTGAGCCCCAGCAGTCAGAGAGGGGACCCCCAGGGCACATGATGCCTTGAAGGCCCAGGGGAGCACCTCGCCCTGAGGTATTTCCGGGCCCCCAGGTGTGGTTCACCTGCTTGACCAGAGAACCCTACATCAAATATTAACCAGCAGATTCAGGTCTTCGAATGTATGTTTGTGCACTGCAAGGAGTCTGTTTGGGGATCCTGAGACCCCTAAAATGACTCCGGCATCTATCAATCCTGCAAGGGAATGTCTAGGAGGAAAGAGTGAGTTCCCTCGGCTCCTCCACGGGGTTTCTGGGATATGTTAGAGGCCAGATGTTTCCAGCTGTTGGTGGGGCCATGGTGGCCATTCCCCAAGTCCCTGCTCTTCCCCATCATAGCCAGTGGCCCTGGTGGAGGCCTGAGGGAGGGTCCCACTTCAGGGTCATGCAGGCCAAGTCTCAAGGAGGGGTTGGGGAAGGTGCTCTCCTAGAAGCCTGTGCTGACGACAGCCCACTGCCTGCAGCTTGATCTGCTCCCCCATGGCCCCTTCCCAGCCCACACCACCCTGGGGTGCTCTCCTCATCCCAGTAAGACATAACTGAGTGGGCAACTGGGAGGAGAGAGGGAAAAGCCTTAGGGAGTGCGGCCTGTGGCTGTCTGCCCACCCACACACAAGAGCCAATCCGAGAGCGCAGCCTCAGGCCAGGTGGCCACCGGGTGAGTCTCGGGCCTGCGGCTTCAGTGCTGAGACCCTGCAATTCAGGGCCGGCCCCGCCCCCACCCCCTCATCATTTGCGGCCACAGCAGCAACATCAGGAAGCCACACGGCCCACACCCAGCTGCCCCTGAGTGCTGCGGGAGAAGAAGGCAGAGAGTCATGGCTGCGTCCTGGAAGCCCCAGTGACAGTGACACCCCTTTTCCTTGTCTTGTAGGTCCTTGTGGTTGACCTAGTCCACAATCGGTTCCTCCGGCAGGTGAGTGAGTCTGCTGCTGGCTGCTGCTCTTCGCTTTCCCCTCTTCTTCGTTAGAGCTCCACTTTCCGGTTCTGGAAGGGTCCTTGGTGCGCCGGTGGGTCCCAGAGCAGGGACAGGCAGGGTGAGCAGCCAGGGGGTGCGGATGCGCTGGGTGGTGGGGCCCAGAGGGAGGGGCTTGGTGTTCTGTCACAGATTGGCTTTCTAGCTGTTGGAATCGCAGTAGAGGCTCTAACCGTGAGCGCTTGTATTTCTTCTACCTGCTTTAAAGAGTCTGAAAACAAAGTTCATGACACAATTTTACGTTGGAAAAAATAGGGACACAAAATGACCTCAGCTGCGCCTGCGCCAGGATTCCCCTGTCCGCGTCCTCACCCGCAGCCCCAGCAGCCTCCCTCTGCTCTCTTCCCGCAAGCGCCTCAGATTCCGCCTGGGGGAACATGCGGGCTTTGTCTTTCTCTGCCTGCCTTATTTGCAGTCTGCTGCCCTCAAGCTCTGTCTCTGTTGTCACGAATGGTAGGGTTTCCTTCGTGCTTACTACTGAATAATAGTGTGTGACGTGAACTCTTGCATGGCTTCAGGAACAGCATAGTGCTGACGACACCATACTTTGACAACACCATACTTTGACCCAGCGTTGCTGGGTACTTTGGTGTTGAGCAAACATCAGAGTGTAATGACACAAACCTACACGGTGTGACCACCGTGGTGTATGTGGTACCTCATTTATTTTGTAAAGATTTATTTATATATACAGAGCTTGGGTACAGGCCAGAGGTGCAGGGGCCATGAGAGGATTCTCCAGAGTCAGAGTGGGGAGCAGAACAGGCAGATTGATTGAAATACACTGCTGAGGGGAGCAGAGGGGAGACAGGAAAGGTCTGCCGCGCCATGTGGTCGCCTCCCTGGCCGGGCATCAAACTCGTGCTGAAGCGACTGTGGCGAGCTTCACAGCGCTACCCGTTGTGCTACCAGGAAGGGCCTCTTTTATTTTTTTTAAGATGTATTTATTTATGCATACAAGAACTGGGGTACAGGCCAGAGGTGTGATGGGGTGAGAGGACTCACCAGAGACAGAGTGAGGAGCAGAACAGGCGGATCCACTGAAGTATGCTGCTGAGGGGAGCAGTGGGGAGACAGGAGAGGTCTGCTGCGCCCTGTGGGTCACTCCCTCGCCAGGGATAGAACTTTTGCTCCTGCAGTGGCTGCAGAGAGCTTCATAGTGCTGCGCTTTAATCCGTTTTGCCACCAGGGAGGGCCCATGTGTTATGTCTTGATTGAGGCATCATGAAGCGAAGCATGACTGGGCCATGTTTTCCTTATCCACACACCGCCTTGTATCCGCCATGTATCCATGGACACATGTTTCCATGTGTTGCTACTGTGAACATTGCTGCAGTGGACTTGAGTGTGCAGGGATCTCTTCAAGGTGGTGATTTCATTTCCTTTCCGTTCAACCAGCAGTGGGCTGGGTGGGTCACACACTCATTTTATTTTTAGTGTTTGAGGAAGCTTTTTACTACTTCCCAGATTGCTGTGTCAATTTGCATTGCCGCCAGAGGTGCGCAGGGGCCCCTTTTCTCCACACCTTCATCAATTCTTGCATTTTTTGATAACAGACATTCTTGCAGGTGTGAGGTGATAGTGCACACAGATTCTGATTTGCATGTCCCTGGTGCTTAGTGGTGCTGAGCATCTTTTCACATAACTTTTGGTCATGTGTATGTCTTTGACAAATGTACGTTTTTATTTTATTTTTGTGTGGAGAAACTGGGGGCTTGGGAGGAGGTAGGAAGATTCATCAGAGGCAGAGGGGAGGAGGGAGTAGAACAGGCAGATCTACTGAAACTCACCGCTGAGGGGAGCAGCAGGCAGAACAGGAGAGGTCTGCTGTGCCATGGGGGTGACCCCTGGGATGGAATTTGAACTGAAGTGGCTGCTGAGAGCTTCATTCACTTTAACTCATTAGGGCCACCATTTAATTTTTGATAGGGACTACTTTGTATGGCCTTAGGTAGTATGATAACCTAACAACATTAATTCTTCCAGTCCATGAGCATAGGATTCCTATCTTTCCATCAGTGTCTTTATTTTCTTTACTTGATGTCTCACATATTGCATTTAATCTTCACAATGTGATAACATTGACGGGTCCCCCATTTTACAAGTGGGGAACCTGAGGCTTATGCAGATTGTAAAAAGTGGACTAGAGATTCAATTTTCAAAACTTTGACTCTAAGTCATGTTCACTCTGAGAACTAGGTTTGTGGTTTGAGTTCCCTACACTGGGAACTGTATCTGGCCTGCCCGGCAGTGGTGCCCACCCGTGGGGGTGCAGAGCACGCCACAGCACCGGCCTGATGGTCTGCCTGCTGCTTGCCTACAGATGGACGACGAGGACTCCATTCTACCCCGGAAGCTCCAGGTAGCCCTGGAGCACATTCTGGAACAGAGGAATGACCTGGCTAGTGAGCAGGACGCAGGGCCCCTGGACTGCAAGCATGGTAAAGCCCAGCCACCTCTCACTCCACATCTCCCCCCATACCCCATCCCCACCCCGCTCTTCAGTGTTTTGATAGGGCAAAGTAGGAGAATGGCCAGAGAGGCACCCAGAGCGCAGCGCAAGGTGTGATCCTTTTCCTGTGTTTCATTCAAATCATAAATTCTGGGAACTTATCTTCCCCCGGCCCCAGAAACACCTGGTTAAAGGGGCTGACCTCTGTGCCAGCCTTTTTCATGGGTCATCCCGGTTTGCTGTGGCGGGACTGGCAGTCACCCCACTTACGAACTGGCTTCCTCAGAGGCATCGCCCAGCCCTGCCCTCAGCGGCTCTGACCCTCCCCGCTCTGCGCAGGCCCTGAGTCCAGCCCCTTGAACGAGGTGGTGTCGGAAGCCTTTGTCCGCTTCTTCGTGGAGATCGTGGGCCACTACTCCCTGTTCCTGACGGCCGGGGAGCGCGAGGAGAGGACCCTGCAGCGCGAGGCTTTCCGCAAGGCCGTGTCCTCCAAGGGCCTCCGCCGTTTCCTGGAGGTGTTCATGGAGACCCAGACATTTCGGGGTTTCATCCAGGAGCGAGAGCTGCGCCGGCAGGATGTCAAAGGTAGGGGGTG